TGGCGGCCCATCAGATTCGCCGTGTTTCTCAGCTGGGCGCGACCACCGCAGTGACACAGCCGCCAGCGAGCCTACGGGACACGGCCCGACATCGCCGTGACACAAATTACCCCGGCCGTTCGACTCACTCGGTCATCACTCCTACCCGAGGGCGGGACGCGTCGACGGCGACCCGGTCCGAGTTTTGAAATTCAAATTCGTTGGGGACGCGCTATCTGCGAGATGGATTCAAAGCTACATAGTTACACGCATTGGCCATGCGTACCTTGTTTGTTTTGACAGTGCGTGCCATTTGAGCCCGTCGATTCATCACGAGGCGCCGGTCTCCGCCCGAGGGACGCTCGGCTGATGTGAAGCACAGGTGAAGCTGCACGTGTGTGCGGCTGCTCCGTGGTGTCTCCTGTCGTCCCTCCAGCCGCGGCTCCCGCCTGCCGATGTCGCGGGGAGCGCGCCGCTCCGACGCCGGTTCCTGTTTACCGGCTCGCGGTGCCTCATTCCGCGCACGTCTTGCGGCCACCGGCGTGTCAGTGGGAAACATGAGCCGAGCGGGCGCGCAGCGCGGCGTCAGACGTACCACCGCGCCGGCGGCGGCCGTCTGGGCACACAGATGGGGAGAGGGCGCCGCGCGGACCTCAGCCTGCCGACATCACCGCGCTCCTCGCCGTGCCGGCCGTAATTGATTCTGTGCTGCATTCCTGTGCAGTGACCGGCAGCGGCAGCCTGCGGAGCTCCGACCAGCGCCATGGAGACTGATGGGACACTCGCCAGGTCAGCATCCCCGGACCCCAGCGCCCGCCGCCGGCGTCCAAATCAGACAGTCCTACTCTCTACCGGCGTCAGCGCCGGGCCCCGAACCGTCCCTCCGAGATAACACGGCCGACCCACCCTGATAGCACGCCGTGTTCGAGATAACTCGCAGGCCGTGTCCCGGCTCTAAGTACCGTGTCCCGATTCTAAGTGCCATGTCCCGCGGCGCCCGGATGGCGGCTGATGACGTGAGATGACGCGAGATGACGCACGCTAATTTCCTCATCTCACGACCTAGTGTGAACCGGCGAGACGATGACCGTTTTCCCCTGCTCACGTCTTGCACCGTCTCTCATGTGGTGCTGCCTCCATGGAGATCTTGTCAGGTGACTGACATCATCTCTGACTACTGCGGTGACCGGCAGTGACCTCATGAGACCTCCGTGGACGTCCAGTGGCAGTGACCCCTGCCGACCACCAATAACCTCTGTCTGTCTGTCGTCCGTCAGTGATGACCGGTGACCACCCGGGACTGACCGGTCTCGCGGTATCGTCGTGCCTTACCTGGCCGGGCGGACCGGTCCGCGGCGGTGGGCTGACCGGGATGACCTGGATCGGTCCGGATCGGTCGCCTGTCCGCACATATGCCGCACCGGTATCGGAGGTGACATCGCTGTCCGGCGTCCGCCCACGCGTCATGGCTGTATGTTTTGTATAAGGTCATCTCTCATGCACACACAGCCCCGCCGGGTGCCTATCCCGGCTCCCCGTCACCTATTCCGGCGTATTCCGGCGGATATTGGGCGCTCGGTGTGGTCTCTCCGGAGGTGTTGGCAGTGCGGCGCCACTTCCTCTGTGGAACGCCCGTGTGCGCCGACCTTATCGTGACCGGCAGAGGTGTGTCTTGGTGGTGGTTTGGTTGACTGGTCGTTCACGGAACGCCCTGGGTCGAGTTTACCTCTGCTGTGTACCCGTGACTCGTGAGCTAACGCCCGTTTTGACCTTCGCTGCAGCTGAAAGAAAGAGAGAAAAAAAAAGAGAGAGGAGAGAGGAGAGAGAGAGAGAGAGAGAGAGAGAGAGAGAGAGAGGGAGGGAGAGGGGGAGAGGTGGGTCTGTGGGGTTTTGAAAAAGAGAGAGGGGAGGATGGCTGTTGTCCGCGCGCGGGGGCACGGGGCGTGACCGATATCCGGCCACCAAACGGGGCCACTCAACCGCCCCCTCCCACGACGCGACCGGGGACGAGAGTGCAAACAGACGACAAAAAGCCACTTCAGTTCGTTCGGCGCGCTGAGGTGAGGGCCGGCTGGCCGGATGTCACCGGACAGCCATTGGACCGAGGGGCGGCGGCTGCCGGTTCTGCTGTGATGGGTTGAAAGATTCAGCTACCGAGTCGGACATAGTAAAAACTGAAAAGAGGAAAAAGTTTCATTTGAACATGGCATGACAAGTCATTTTTATTCTTGTCAGTTAGATAGAACCAGGTGTGGAGTTTGACATTTATAACATTTCATTTTAGTCCCGTCATATTTCCGTTGTTCCTGTCTGCCGCAACTGCCACGGGAGTAATTATTCGTCGGTTTATCGGGCCATTATCATCCGCGGCCCAGCTGTGTCACCGGCCCGACACACCACTTTCCGGGCTCTGCCACACGGCTGACGGGCTGCTGGTCGCCCGTCCGCAGCACCGCGCTATTGTTCTCTGCGGCGGCAGGCCGAATGACGCCCTGTTGACGCCGCTGCAACACGGCATTGTGGCGGCGCTGGTGGCGCGTGCCGGGTGATTCGCCGGGTCAGGTGGCCCGCGGTCTGCAGCCGACCAATTGAACATCCCCCCCCCCGTCCCGCGGGGCTGCAGCTGCCCAGCTGGGTGGAACGAGGGGCCGGTGTCAGGGATGACGGATCGACAAAGTCGAATTGATCGGGGACTGTGCCAAACGGAAACGCGTGTCCGGGAATAAATGGGTCGGAACTGGGGGACCGAACTGGGACGGTGGTGCAACTCTCCGTTCGTGATCACCGGATCCAGCAGTTCCTGTTGTAGGTCATGGCGCGCGCAGGGGCTCCCCGGTCAGTCAGCTCTCACTGTCTCACACTCTCCCCCTCTGAGGTCACCTGATGCATATCTGCGACGGTGACCGACGGGCCGGGTCGACCAGAGCGGTGACCAACGCTGACCATCACTGACCGGCGGGGCTGTCCGCCGTACGGAGAGCGGAGAGTCCCGCGCCGAGCAGTGCTCAGCGGCCGCTCGCAAACCGGTTACAGTCTGTTCAGCGAACCCGGCCTCGGCTGAGGGCTCAGCGCGACCAGACAGACCGAATGCACCTGGCGAAAGGTGGTCGTACCCAGAACTGCGGCCTCCCAGCGCGGATTTGCATGCGCCGGCCGCGGTGACGTCAGACGAGGGCTGCACGCGCGCCGAGAGAACACAAAGGCGCGGCGGAGCGGGACTGGGGGCTGCGGGCGCGGCTGACGGACGGATTTGTTCGAGCAGTGCCTGCGTCAATGAGAGGTGCGGCCCGAGCGGACGAGCCTAATTGAGACGGTTTGCGCTGAGATGGAGCGTGGGTCGCGGTATGCGTGCCGGCATCTCACAGCTTCAGAGCTGACCGATAACAATAGCACCAATCTGAACGACGCCTACCAGCGACGGCAGGTGTTCCGGCTATCGGCCGAGAATCACTCCATGTCGTGCTGTTACTATTAACGCCATCGTATGCGATTACACGCGCACCGCTCGCTGGTAAGTATGCCATCAGCCGCGCGGGGACCTCGCCGGGAAACTAATCACCGTCGCCGCGTGCGCGCCGGAATCGCCGCAGCGCCAATTTACGCTGTCGGTTGCTATCGGTCAGTCGCTCGACGGGGGAGGCGAACGCGGCGGGATGGTGTAACGGGCCGGACCGGCGCCTCCGTTCGCCCCGGGGAGGACCGGTGGCGGCCGGTCGTTCCGATGGTTATACGACTGGGGCAGCTCGCCGACCGTAGGAGCCCGCTGGACTGGGAGCGGCTCTGTACGATCAAGCACCCGGGCGGGGTATAGGAGCTGGTGCAGGTTTGGACTGCGCTGCTCCGAACAGCTGCCCTGCCGCGTGGAGAGGGTGTGAATGATGGAGGTGATCTGCCACGGATTCACACACCTGGCCTTGCAGCCGCCGCCGGCGGGGCTGAGACCCTCGGTATTATACGGCGCAGACGCCGTCACGGCACCTGAACACACCGGCGAAGGAAGTGCGCATCGTGTACGGTTTCCGGAAACACGGTGTTCGCTTATGAGGGCCGGGTGTCGTCGATTCAATCCGCCGTGTTGTCGGCTGTAACAGTGTGTCCGCTTCCCGATTGGGCCTTTTTGCTGGCGTGTTTGCGTCACCGTCGCCGCCAGGCGCTGTTTTGCTGCTGCCGTTTCCAAGGTTAAACGCCACTTTCAACTGGCTGGTCGGTTCGGCTCAAAGGCGCATTTGCAGCGCCCATCTTCCCACTCGGCTGGACGTGCTGGCCCGTCCGCCTTCTGTGCGCGCCGCAGTTTCCGGTGAATGCTAATTGAACGGGGCACCTCGGGCCGGCAGCTGGCCGCTGCACGAGCCGTCGAGGCGTGCAGCGCGCGGCGAGAGAGGACTGAAATATCCCGCAGTGTGAGCGTTCCCAGGGGCCGGCCCCGTCCGCTGCAGCGGGCGCGAGCTGCCGTGTCTGTCGGGACAGCGGTTGTGTGGTGATGACTGAAACCGTGCGGTTGTCACCGGACGGTGGCAGCTCCCACCTGCCACTCGTGTAGCCCTCCTGCGCCGATTTCCTGCCTCGGACGCGTGCGATTGCTTGACGGGTGACTTCCCGTCTCCGCTCAGCTCTGTAGCGATTAGTGTCCTGGCCGCGTGGCGTGCGCCCGGTTTTCCCGCGCGCTCGTCGCTGATTCGCCGTGAATGACACAAGTGTACTCGGTCATCGCCCCTCGTGTACGCGAATAGCCCAAAAGCCCCTGCTCAGGCGCAAAAAAAGTCAACGCCAGACTCATATAACGTGGAACGGGTCCCGTCCGCATGTCGGCAAAGCCGTGCGGCTGCATGCATGACGGATCGGCGGCTTATAAGCTCGAGTTGGCAAACAAGATCTGTCTGATATGATTGCTCAGCAGCCCTGTGTGGCGGCGGCTGTGGCGGAACGGCGCTCCGTTTTCGGTCACCCTCGGTGTGTTGTCAGGCGACCGGCCGGCTGTTGCGGTGATTTGTCTGATCTGACGGGTTGATCCTCCTTTGCAGATGAGCGGAGCATGCTGAGGTTCGCCGGTAACGTCTCGCATAAGGACCACTTCCGACTGCTGGAGAACGACGGCAGCTCGCTGCTCATCGGCGCCAGGTGAGTCGGCGCTCTGTGCTCTGTGTTCTGCGCTCTGTGTTCTGTGCTCTGTGTTCTGTGCTCTGTGTTCTGTGCTCTGTGTTCAGTGCTTGGTGATCAGTGCTCGGTGCTCTGTGCTCTTTGCTCTTTGCTCACTGCTCAGCGCTCGGCGTTCAACATTCAGTGCTCATTGCTCAGTAATCGGGCTGAGCGCTCTTTGTTCTGTGCTCAGCGCTCAGCGTTCGATGTTCCATGCTGAGTGTGCGGTGCTCTGTTCAGTGTTTGGTGTTCAATGCTCGGCACTCGGTGCTCGGTACCGTGGTTTATAAGAAAGAGCTCACACACGCCGGCGGCAGCCGCGCGCCGAATGGTTCTGGTGCTCCGTTCACGGGCCCAGAGACTGGCCATGGCGGCTCGTCGATCCATCGGCTGCCAGTGGCCGTGTGGTGGTCAGTCCGGGAGCCGGGAAGGCCCACGGCCGGCGGCGGGACGGGTGCATGGTCAGGACATTACCACCGGTGGCTCTGTCTACCTGGACATGGTGTCTGATGGATCGTCCGCTGGAACACTGCGCGGGGATCAGCTCTTGTGAGACGGCGCACCTCTTCTCGGAGCACCTGTCCTGTCTGCATAAGCGCAGCTCTGATCATATTTCCTATCATCCGTACTGGAATGGCACTGGAATATAGCGCAGTAAGCTGCTGAAACAGGACATCGTGGGTAATAGCGCAGTCAACTATACTAACTGTCCTGCCGAACTTTACACGGGACTATTTCGACGGTGCTGGCCGATGGTGTCTGAACCTTTCCCATATCGGATGCTATTATTCAGCGCGGATCGTACTGAATGCCGTGATCTCACTCGACTCTGATCGTGAGGCGTGCCGATCCTGTCAGATTGGAACGGTGCCGTCATCGTGTATGGTATTTCATAACGCTGATCCCAATGCACAACCGAACTTTCGCCTGTGAAATGGGTGCAGATTACCTGAGATTGCTCCGATAATTTCTGCAGCCGGCGCGGACACTCGGCCGTTCCCGACTAAATATCTGTCTGATTTCTCCTGGGCGGGGTGTGTCATTGTCGCTCGCCCGACTAACTATTCAGAGAAGCGATCTATTTTCAGACAGATAGCGGTTGACCCGCCGATCGGGCGGGCCGGCCGGCGATATTTCACGTTGGGCCTCATTCCCAAACGGTTCTCGGCAGCCGGCGAGGTAACGGCTGACCGTTTAGAGCTGCCCGACTCCCACACCGCTCGGCCGGAGCTGGGGGCGGCCCCAGCGACCGCAGCCGCCCCTGGCCGCGATCGGCCGTGTCGGCACCGATGGGCGTCGATAACGACGCGATTTGTCGGCGCGTCGGGCGATAATGGAGGAACGTCCGGCGGCCGGCGTATGCTGATGCCCGCGGAACGGCCGACGGTTATCGCCCACCGCCGATATAGACGTGGGTATCTGCGGCCTCATACTGGACGCTAGACAATGAATGGAGCGTCAGGCCACGGTAGAGCCGCCCAAACAGTCACCAACACAGCGGTCACGGACACGGAGCTCGGCTCCGGGTTCGACCCGCCCCGGCCGAACCTCAGAAGGTCGCGACCCCGCCCTGTCTGGACCCAGAAGGTCGTGAGCATGGTTTGGAACGAGACGCTTCGGCCACAATGCGACTGCATT